CATACTACATTACTAGTTTTATAAAGCGCAATTTCTTGCTGGTGCAAGCGTAGCCTTACCCAAAGCTTTATAAACGTTACCGTTTGACCTGAGGCGGCCTTGTATTTGGTGCAAGTAGTTATCCACTAATTGCAGATAGATGCACGTTCCTCATGCCCTTAATTACGAACATAGGCATTGGACTCTTCCAGTTCAGCATTAACAGCACAGTTGTTTTCCGGCAAAAGTAAGTTCCCGCGTACGTTAAATGGCGCTAGTTTATGTGGCACGAGTTCTAAACTTTGTGAAATTTATTTTAACACAGCACTTTCAGAACAATTTCCATTTGTCCGGTGCAGTGGTGTCATGTTTGTCTGGACGTTTTGGATAGAGTTGTCCGTCGGTTCTGCAATGCTGTATGAAAGTTCCGCTGACTGATATTTCCCTAAAGCAACACGTTTTCTGTTTGCCTTAACATTGAAACAAACCAAGAACGCTCTAAGAATACTAAGCACTCCTCAATTACAGCGTGTTTACATCCCATAAAGACACCAGAGCCCATAGGTATATCGCTTCACAACACGTCCTTTGTTTATACCACGAATGAGCAGAATAAAAATATTTTCCAAACGAACAACAGCAGTCAGTAATGTCCTCTAGGACCATAGTTCATTTAAATTACCGATATAGCGATTCTTTCAGTCAAACTCGGAGTTTTGAAACTATAGTTTGGCTTATAAAACATAGTTTGCTTAGCCTTCATCATATTTACTTATTTATTTATTTATTTATTTATTTATTTATTTCACGTCAAAGGTCCTATCCACACAGGTGTGGCTATTCCAGGTCCAGAGTCACATTAAAAAGCGTATCGGATGATCACTTACGTAAAAGGTAAAGGCACACGCACAAGCACACACTCAAACACACGCTCCCACAAATGGGGTCATCACGAGCCGACGCCACTGACAGGCAGCTGCCGCTGGAGCATATACTCGTAACTCCGCAGCTCTCATACAGAACCTCTTGTTGTGTTCACAGTGACATAATTTTACTTACCACAATTATGTATGTGACACTTATTCCGATTGATGCATTCTTTGCCAGTATGTTAAGTACACTGCAACAAATAGCTTAGCAACAGAATAGGACAATATTAACAATGCATATATTGACCATGGCTGGGGTAAACACATGCAAATGGAGGTGAAACAAAGCAGGTGGAAAGCAAGTAGAACAATACAGCCAACGATAGTCCACCGATGACAGCGGCCTGCGTAAAATGCAGCCTGATGGTCGATATGACGCAAATCATGTGTCGTGCGTTTTAAACTTAGAAGTAGGCATTGTAAAAATATCATTAATATCGTGCTGCTGACACCAAAGAGGACATTTCTAAAAATGAGCGCGGAAGTCTGGGAACGTTATTAAAGTATTCGACAACTCTAAAACTGTCAGCTATTGGTAAGATGGTAGTTCGATTTATTACTTCAACAGCAAAGAGCAAAAAGTTCCCGAAAAAATTACCTACTTGGGGGCTATTTATTAGGAATGACTGTCACTTGGTATGAGCCTAAATTGGACCGAGGACCTATCGTCTCAAATATCGCACGAAACAATCCGCTTATCAAATCCATGCTTATTGACTGCAACACAGCCCTTAAACGGAACTATGATATCCACATTCTACAAATGTGTAAGATCCAGACCACCCATTGCAACAGATGGTGTGCCTACTTCATTTCGAGGACTAATTACGGTCACATTCACGGTGAATTTGCATTAAGCTGATGCCCTTTTGATGTCGGCGCCAGGAGACCAGATTTGACTTAAGTCTGGTTCCGCCTCGATCGGGGAGAGAACTCAGAGCTCACACATCCGGTCGGGTAGGCGTGACTCGCCAGCTTACCCCGCGAGCAGCCAGCTGTCCAGAAAACTACGCATTTCTCAAGCACTGCATAGGTAGCTACTGACGAAATTGAGAGATGTGTAGGTGGTGGGAGTTTCTCTTGCTGCTTTTCAGATTAGGGACATAAATCGCTCATTTTGCCCAGACCAATGTCTCCGCCCAATCTCCGCCTCGTGATGGATAAAAGGAGGCTAAGGGGCACCAAATGCGCAGAAAAAAGAGCATGCAAATTATCAGCAATACTAGCTTTTAGAATATCACAAGCACCGAGTTGCGTTAAAGGCCTGACCGCATTAAGAACGTAGATGATAAAATACTATCCAGGAAGCCAGCTCACACAAAATGGTTCGAGTCTGAATCAAAGCCGATTGGACTGGATGGATCAATCAGCTCGGCACCTGTGATAAGCTCTGCGATAAGCTCCAGGACGATGGGCGCGATGTCTTACGGGCATGAGGAAACATATATCAGCAAACAAGTTGGTCTTTGATTTATAGATGAGAGGAGAGTGAGGTAACTGTAGGCGTAGTGCGTACCGACTCGTGTATGACGGAGACTGCGATACTGGTGATAGATGCCTGATGAAGGTAGGCTGTGCCGCACGACACGGAAACACTGCGGCACAGTTTACCTACAGATTTTTACTCTCGCCGAAAGGGACATCGAGCTGGTCCCAAATAGGATTTGGAAGTGCATAACTAACGACTCGCTGCCCAAAAAGGCTTTGTTAAACGTCGTCAACGCACAGTCGTCGCGGATAAGAATCCTAGTGAAATTGTCGGTACTGATGTGAAAATGGTCTGCAAACGGGCGATGCTTGCAAAATGCGTAAGGCATTTCTCGGAGAACACAAACTTGAGTCGACGAAGACCTTCAATCACCCCTCCAAACCCAAGTATCTCTCAGAACCTTCTCGCTGCGTATTCCCGACGGACAAAATGACCAGCCTGCGCCACCGCTGCAGCCTTCCCGCAAACGACCACTCATGACTGTGCGGTCGCGAGCATTTTTCACCCGCTCTCCCCCTGCTAGACAGTGATTTTAATCCGCCGTTTCTGTGTCACTGCGCAGCGTTCGATGGTATTGTGCGGTGTGTGACCGGCCGGCTGACCGGTCCGGGAGGTGGCTTTTCTCGTCGAAGGCCGCCGGTCTGAAGATTGCATCACGGCGCCGCTGTCGGTCACAGCCGCCGGTGTGGCGTCCGATCGGCACCAGAGGGATCGGCACCGGCGGCTCTGAGACAGGCTGGGACGCTGAGAACACAGTCCCAAGACACTGTTGGCTAGTCCGAGGGACCACTCACCGGGCGGTACAGTTGAAAATTGTCACACTAGATGAAAGACTGCTACTCGACACCAGTTGACAGACGCATCCAAGGCAGTTGCCAGTCGTCCCGCGCCCGATGACGTCATGGCAGTTGCCAGTCGTCCCGCGCCCGATGACGTGATAGGTTAGATATTCTTAGCTAAATTAGCAGTACTGGTCTATAGGATTCCTTCAGTCATGGAGGCTAGCTGTGCGTCACTGTATCGTTGTTGTTGTTTTTTTTTTTTTTTTAGCATCGGCCGTCCTAATAACAGTGCGGTATGGTTATCCAGCGACAGGAACGGGTGCAGCCAGGCTGGCGGCCTCAGTAGAGGCAGTGTCTCGATCCAACCAGCCCCGGAAACCGGCACAGAGGCCTGACGAGAGGCCGACCCCGGTACCGATACAGGAACAGAACAGAGAGCAGCTCACCGACCCACCCGACCGCTCTGCGCGGTCAGATAACACCTTCTTACCGGTTAGGCCGGCCCACGACGGGTGCGGAACTGGAACCGGGAACTGGGACGGACAGCTGATAGGAAAGGGTCACCACTCGCCCAGATGGAAAGGACAGGGCGCGGCGGCGTGAGATTGACAGGCAAACCGGACTTCAGGCTGGTGGGTGGAACGGTGCACAGCGACTGAGAGAGAAAGAAAGCGGAACCTGTGGAAATTAGGAAAAACCAGTAGTGGAAAGTGAGTTAGCGCCCTAGACACCCGGCGGGAGCCTTCTTTGTTTCCGAAATGATCACCAAGTGATCATTTCGCCAGCCTGCGAGAGGATAAGCGTCATCCCTTTGCAGCCACTGCGAGGGTAATCAGTTACGCATAGAATTGATAACGTGAACTTGAATTAATAACGATACCGTTAACTTATTTAAAGCATCGGTTGACATTTCCCGTGGCTTTGGAGGATCACTAAAATGTCAACTATGATCAAGTTTTTTCAGTGACGATTGTTAAAATTAAGCATTTACCGAAAAAAAACATCGACGACTTACTGAAATGGATTTTAACCAAACGATAGTCGCCATCCAACGTGTGAAGAGAGTGCACCTATTCACCAAAAGGGTTAGCAAAGTGTGCAAATATAATGCCAGCATATCACATCAGATCCATTTCAGGTGTGCCGGAGATCGCATTTCACGAGCCGCTGAGTGTTCACAGAAAACGATATAAATACCGAACTCGTGAGTGTGAGTGATTCCGTCGCACTCTCCGGTGATCGTCGGCAGTGGCTGTTTTGGTTTACTCAGACGACTTCCTGGCCAGACGACGGCAGCCCAGGACAATACTAAACCTAACCGTCCTAACCGCTGCGAATGACAGGGCTTTTAACGGAGACGCCGTCCCAACTGAGCTCTTTAGCTAGTCGCGCCGCTCACGCGCGAAGAACACCTGCGAGGATAAGGTATCAAAGACTGTGCTGAAGATGGATGAAGCTGCCGGCGCCCCGCGAAAAAAAATTCACGGATCCACGTTGAATGTGATCTAAGCGCACGTAAGTTAAATAATCTTTGTTGAAGCATTGTCTTCATAAAACCCCACGCAAGGCATCGCTTTTCAGCGTGTTTTTCCCTTATAGCGTGGTCGAATCATCGTCTCGTGGACGTAGTTAGGTGAAAACGCAAGGAAGCACTGTAGCAATTGGCCCTTTGAAATGCAAATGTAAAGGGTCTAGACCATTTGTTCTGTGGAAGTTTCAGTTCCGTTTCAGAGCTGAATTACACAGATGCTGCTCATGGAAAACCAACGTGACACATTGCCGCTGGATCTTTTTTTCGATTACCAACACATATCCGAACTGTTAAGCGGTTTTATTACAAAAGTTGAATCATCTAAACACAATAGACTAGACAAAACACAACGTGTTCCATATCACATAAAAGCAAGCCCAGAAGGAGGCCTCCAGAACACCTTCGAAGCATGTGAGCGTTTGGAAAAGACGCTTCGAAATGGTCAACTAACTAGCCGGCGAACTGAACTGACGGAGCACACTGCACGCGGTTCGTGATTCAACACAGAGAGCTCTAGCCTGAGGTCAGTCGCGTGCTTCACCCAGTCGCGGACACACCCGGGTCAACCGGCGCGCCCCGCGAATCGACGGAGCACACATGGACAGACAGAGTAGCCACTGTCGAGCACTGCAGTCATACCATCTCCGACGACTGGTCACCATAAGGTACCAGTACACTCATATCGCGTATAGCACACGCACACACGCACATAGTCTGGACAGAGCGAGCCTGGCGCCGGCTGATAGCACGACTCACGTCACAAACAGTGCCGGGGGGACGGTAAAACCGGCGCAAAGAGTGGGGACGGGATGTGATACTCCGAGACAGAGGAGACTCGGTCGACTTCGTCACTAATGAGGTGGTAGGTACTCATTAGAGAACACTATTTTCAGCACTGGCTGTCTGATGGTTTTCGACCGGTATGCGGATATTTGTGGTTATGACGACACACCAACATCCGAATAACAATGCCATTCCTGTATATCCCCGAATCGAAATGAGGATAAGTGACTGCATCATTCTGGTGTCACAAGCACATAAGTAAAGGGCTGCTACAAACTGGAAAACATATTTAACCCGTATTGCTCGGATAAGAAGCTCTACAATAGATCGTCATGTCTCTTCCTCCGCACGTATGACACCGATCACACTGATCCCAAAAGCCCTGCGTACGACTGGCCAAAACGGGATACATAACAGCAAATATTGCACGATATGAATAAATACAAGGATCACATCATCAATTAATGTGATATGAAAATCATCTTAACGTGCCATTGAACATAGATCCATGACAGTACAAGTAAAACGTGATACAATACGATAACACAGCCCATAACACAGAACAAAGGAACCTGCCACTTCTGTTTCAAACGTCATCGGTCACTGTCGACGCATACAGAACATCCCCGCACAAGCTGTCAGCCTGTTTACCGAAAAACATCGGTGAAATAGTAACCAGCCTGTCAGTGCCACTTGCGTGGGGCGGTCGCACAGAAAATGACGAGACAAACATGCACACCAACGCACACACGTGAGGGCGAACAGGATACCGCAGTCTCGACACGACCGTCTCTGATCGGGGTACGGCACCGGTGGTGTGTGCGCAGTTGACTACAGAATGATGTCCCACTTTTCACAGGCAATCAGTTGCCTGGAGTGGTAGGCTGTGCCGCATTACACGGGCTGAGTTCACAGTCTAAAGCTGTGACCCAACACTCACCAAAGACACGCTTAATTTCGTGATAAACGGCACAACTTAGCGTTTCAGTCAACTGATAGCTTTAGAGGGGTGGAACACAATTCTGTAGCCAACTGTACGGACCCATGAGGAACTGTCGACGGTACACTAATTCCTGGGAAATGGAGGAACCGGGACGGGATAATTTCAGTCGGAGTTGGTACACGACGGGACGGCACAGTGCCGGGCGGTGGGATATCGGATACAAAAGCGTGCATATTGGACTGCGGTGTAAGTACCGAACCTGACGGCCAGGAAACCGGGTACCAAGAAGAGGATACCGGATTCTAAACAGCAGTAGCGTTGAACTGGAAGTTCCATGACGTTGGTTACAACTGGCGGAGGGCCGTATAGTGTAACCTGCCAAGAAAAGTCCGGCATCTCTATCGCAGTGACGAGCGGAAAATGCGGTTCAAGAGACATTGAGCTAGTTCCGTGACTTTGAGTCCCGCAGGTGGGTTCGGTTTCAGAGCCAGTTGAGATGCAGAGAACTGGGGTGTTCCGTTCACTGGTCACTACTAGGAGTCACTTAGGTTGCAGTGAGCCGCCTTTCACCTTTGTGCATACAGCAAGAGCACACGAGTGCATTGAACGCCTCGTGCACAAAACACAGACAAATGCACGCAGTGCTACTGTTTGCGGGAATGCGTCAGCACCGTCATCATAATTCCCAACAAGGGAAAAAAAACAACATCAACAACAACCACTGGATCAAGTGCCTGCGACCACACACCGAAATCGTGGAAGCTTCACCGTTATTTGATTTCATAATGTAGAGAGAACTACCCGAAACAGCTATCTTACACCTACAAAATACCTTGTCTGAAATGTTTATGGTCCCCGCAACATTATCAGTTAAAGGGTCCACGTTTGTGACAGAAAAGAGACCCCACCAACTGCAACGAACAAGGAATATAAAAGATAAACAAATCAACAAAACAAAACGCATCACAATCCCTCCGAGAGACATAAATGGGTTTCTTTGTAGAAACTATCACAATAATGTCTGTTTAATATCGAATCGCAAAATGAAATGTGTCAGCAAATTATTTACGATTATCATGATGTTCATTACACGAGAAACGGCACAAAAGTGGCAAAGGTGCATTCAAGAAATGCATAGCGACAAAAATATACCAGTGAAACGTTTTTAGAAATAAAGCCGATGTAGCATATTGGGTTTGCATTCCGGAGCGCAGCATGCGATTTTGATCGGAATAATTTTTATGATTTTTAAGCACGGAGCCTTGAGAGCGTTACTTAACTATCTTAGAAAATGCTCAATGCATGAGCAGCTAGCTTGGATATGGAATCTCCTAAGTCTAATAAAATAGCTAACAAAACAACTCGTCAAAACAATGCTAATACACAAAATTAAATAAGGAAATAAGATTCACATGGTCTGAAATTCAGCAAAAATGGCATATGAAATCAATACAGGACCTGTAACAAACCATCATATGATTCCTACATAAAGTCACCCCGATACATTATCGCTCCAATAATCCGACCTAAAGCCGCCAAAAAACACAGGCAAGGCAGTGAGATGGGTTCCCTGAACGGCCAGCCTCCAGACACGCACATCCCTGCCAGGCTCTCACACACAGGTCACGTGGTCACGGGAACGGCTCCTACAGGTCACGTGGTCACGGACACGGCTCTAACGAGCAGGTCATATCGTCACCGACATGACTCCCAAGCACAGGTCACGTGGTCACGGACCAAGATTATATACTAAGTCACATGGTCACGGACATGGCCAAAAACTCGAAGCACAAATCACGTGATCAGGGACATGGCTCCCACACGCAGGTCACGTGGTCAAAGACACAGTGCAGTCAGGTGAAGAGTGAAAAGACAGAAGCAGACGGACAACACTACACCCAACAGCGAACAAGCTGGCTCATATCACATTGCAGCAGCGGTGACGCGGCGGTGCGCGTACAAAATACCCCATGACGCTGGAAAACGCAGCGGCATGACTCCCAGCCCGGCAGTCAGGCGGGGTAGTTGTATGCCAATTCCGTCACCAGAGCACGAGTGTCGTAGTCTATTAGTCCGCGACGGAACGGAGCGTTAAAATGTCAGTATTGGCTCTTCACGGTTTTCTTTGGTAATCAAATCTGAAAACGGGTGACAGAAATGAGATTAGATTTTGTACGATATCCACACGGTGTAAAATACTCGAAGAAGAAACCACATTTAACGGTTTGTTTTTCCAAAATGTTTAGTGCATTGGAGAGGCCAGTTGCCAAATTTGTGCTATGAAAACATGGCAAGAGTAGAAAGGGCCGAATGAAGTGCGGGCCGGATGGCGTTGGGTGAGACTCTTAACCCGCACCACTGCGTACTGACCGTTGACGATGGCGTGCCAGGGCAGGCGGATGTAGGTGACGTGCGCGCGCAGCGGCAGACTGGACGCGCGCCGGTTCTCCTTCCAGAAGTGGAACGTTTGTGAAAAGCCGCGCATCGTCCAGATCGGGTTGTAGGCGCCATCGTCCAGTTCTGCCGAAAAAAGGATCAGGTCTAGTCAGGGAGCATCGCTATTGATTACGTCAGAGCAACGTCACACTCACGTCATGGTCACTTATGTAACGTCAGGGTTATCGAAAATAACACATGGACCACATACCAAAAACACCCAGTGATAATCGTGGGGCAATGGCCATGCTACCATTCAGACCGCTATACATTATAATCAGGTCCACCTTCATCCTCCCTGTAGTAGTCACAAGTCCAGCTCGCTGCGGAGGGCAGCCGCCATGACCCGTCGGTCCCACGCACCCGGAGCGACCATCCCGGATACACGTGTCCCCGTGGTCGGTACCTCCTACCACCATCTTTGTCCCTGCGCGGCAGCTTGATCGTTCGGCTATTGAACGAGCCGCGGGATCGGCGTCCGCCGCCACGCCGAGGCTTCCAGAACAATAGCTGCGTTGGTGCCACTCAACACCCAGCTGTGAGCGCCGCAGCGGAGAGCGGGCGTAGTGAAAAGGCCCGTGTTGGAGCGGGCCGCGCTGCTACGTCAACGCTAAACGTTCACAGAGGTGCCATCAGAAGCAGGGCCCGGGGGAGCCGGCGGACTGAATAGAACTGACGTCACTACAGTCCCACAGGAAGGCCTCCAGTCTGCGAGGACGTCGTATCACGTCTCCTTGGTGAAAATTCATCAGATTATTAACGTTCGGTACAGGCGGGCACAAAAACATCCAACCAGTCACCCAAAACTGACACAGGATATATAACGGCGCTAACATGCGTCACCACATGCCCATGCAGCATGCAAAGCGTCAACACCACCACAGACGCGACATGAAACTCCCACTAAGAACATAGCGATTTCACTTGTCATCCAAACATGTGACATATTCTTCTTCAAAACTCTGATAGACTTAAAAAAGAATTCAAGGCGTCGAATTGTACAAAACTGGCGTAAAACCGGAGCGCCACTTATCAATATGTCGCCACAAACACCCGTATGACTGTAGTTCCCCAGGCAATCATTACGTTTTCTGAGCTTCAAAGTTTAAAATAGTAGCCTAAATTAGCTCCTATCGCGAACGTGTCTCTAGCACAAATCAGCCCTTGGCATTTCAGAAGTTTCTTTAACAGAGCCGAAAACGCGTCACTACACAGAGTTGATAACAGTTCGAGGAAGACCAGTCGGACGGAACGGGACGGGACGGGACGGGACGGGACGGGACGGAGAGGGGAGGAACGGGACGGGACGGGACGGGACGGGACGGGACGGGACGGAGAGGGGAGGAACGGGACGGGACGGGACGGGACGGGACGGGACGGGACGGGACGGGACGGGACGGGACGGGACGGGACGGGACGGGACGGGGCAGACAGCCCGGGATCAGCGGGAAAGCCCTAGCAAACGGAGTCTGATGACCGAAAAGTGAGCTCGCCATGGTGACCAAATTAGCGCAGCTTTTCGTCCGGTTAACGCCCAACATTACCGACAGAATAGCTAGGGTAATTATTGCTGAAAAGTACTGACGGTTATCAAGCAAAAACTCGGGGCTGACAAAAGTAATGTTGTACGTTATGTCAGAGTCCGACACGAAGCAATTCGCAAATTCGAAAAAGTCATCATAACGACTTGATAAGTTCTAGCTGAACTTTTCGGTTGAAAAAAAAACGTAAGCCACGCATTCGCGTTCAGAGATGCAAATCTTGTTATAAGAAAGCATCGATTCCAGACCCCATCTAAGCACCCTAAAACCAAACGTAACACCCGAAATCTCATCCACTCCATCCTCCCTCAGACGCACCTGCGTCCCGCTCCTCCATCCGTAGCCGGCCGGCCGGACAGCGCTGCACGTGTACTGTAGTCCCCACCGCAGAGCGGGGACAGGAGCAGCCCGGCTCCCGCTCCGGCTCCGTCCGCCGCTCCGGCTCCCGCTGGGGGAGCGCCACCATCTCCAGAGTCACCAGCTCGGCGGGCGGACTCTCGGACCGCGCCCCACAGATCGCCCCGCAGAGCCGGGACATCCCGCCGCGGGGTCGGTCCGGCCGCGCCGCGGGGTCGTCGGCGGGTGGGCCGACGCGATTGAGCTGAACCTCTGACAGCACGTCTGTCTTAGCGGCGGTTCTAGGGTCGGACGACTCGATGACGGCTGTAGGGTCGGGCGGCTCGGCGCTAGTTCTTGGGACGCTTGAACCGGCGACATCTCTAGAGTGAGATGGCCCGGCGGCGCTTCCAGGGTGAGATGGCCCAGCGGCGCTTTTAAGGTCGGACGATCCAGCGGCAGCCACAGCGGAGATGCTGGCCAAAAGAGGCAGCTCGGAGTTTCCACCACCAGCAGTGGCTGTCCCCAGAGGCAGCCGCGGCGGTGTTGACGGTGGCGGTTGTGCAGGGCGTAACACTGCAGAGCGGACAGGGCTGTGCTGTAGCGGCTCAGGCAACAGCAACAACAGGCAGCGAGCCAGGCAGACGGGAGATATTCGGCAGGCAGACATGTGGTCAACGAGCGAGCTAAGAAAGGCTTCGCGATCGAACAAGAAGGTAAATAAGACTGAAGAACCGACACCAGGGTATTGCAATTGTCGTACGGGAAACGACATGACATACATTTAGTGATGTTTCATTGCACGGAGACATGCGAGCAGCACATGACAGGAAAATTACCATATCAATTGGACGGATTTTAACAGGGAGCGTGAATACAAAAGCCAATAATTCATCGTGACCAGGCAGGAGGAATTTAACAAGCCCCGTACCGTCTCGGACATCGCCCGCCTCGATTTCGTTAAACTGGTCCTGGTATGCGTTCAGGCCTTCACTCTCGGACCGCGCTTTACCGACATCTTTCGGCTTGGTCCGGTAGTTGGAGTACATGAAACTGTTGAAGTTGGCGCTGGGGTCGCTCAGACGGCGCTGAAACACAGGGAATGGTAGAGCGTTTCTGCAATCATTGCATGAGAAAGCCGTTCGATCACAGAAGTAACTGGAACACAGTACTACAGGGATGTTCACGAAAAACTGACACATTTTATTTCCGAATTACGAGAAAACACTTGCCCTCAGAACGGTGATCATGCTATGGGCAAATAGAGTGGACTTCTAAGTTTGTATTGACATATTTTGGGATCATGTCATTTTCGTTTCTAAGAAGTTACAGCGTATTTTGCAGATGACGAGTTTTTGGAGCAGTGCACGACTCAGCCCGAAACAGGAAATTATTCCCCGTTTTTGGGCACGTGCCTGGAGAATTGCAACACCTCTCACTGCACTCGTCGGGAGGTTTGATGTCCTTTGGGCCGCTGCTACAGATCATGTCACTCACGTGACCCCACAGGAATAGTCCACGGAGTTGAGGTAGAGCGAAATGGCCGGCTATGGGTGAGAGGTGATGCGCGAGACAAGTGCCCCCTCCCCCCTGTTCTCGTGTGAGACCGATGATCGCCGTTACTGTACGTAGGGTGGCCCTGACGTGCCAGAACCACCAAATGGTGTAGACGTCGACCCATTTCCGCTACAGTAGCTAACAGAAGCTGTTAAAAGATGGCACGGTACCACTCTACAGTGACTGCCAGCATGCGGCCATGGTTTCTGACATCAGCACTTCCAAGCCTGCCAATTTTGGCATTCCTTAGGAATTTGCCCACAATATGCCAATAGTATAAAACATAATCCATCGAAACATTAATATGTCAAATTTTAGACGAATTCGTAGACTGGTTCAGTCGTGGTGGCAGATGGCAGCCGCGAGAGCTTCATTGTTTTTCCGTTAAGTTTTGTCGCCAAGTCAAATTTCCCATTTTAACGCTTTCTTATTTATTTGGAAGCTCATGTGATGCTAACTAAAGGAGCTATGCAGATACAAAACTTTTTTCAACAGGCTTTCGAATGGCATGCAAGTCAAGTCTCCGTGAGCTCTCACATGCTCACAAAGTCGTTTTAAAATGTGTCAGTTTTTCGTGAACATCCCTGTATTTCAGCAAACAAGGTTGAAAAGAAAATTTATGTGACATGAACTGTTTTCCCAATACCCTCAATCACAAACATTATTAAATGGAACCGATCAAACGCAGCCACCGCCCCAACACTTGCTGACGCGACTTCCCGAACGAATATCAAGCCTGCCAGCGCGGGTGGGACCCGGCTGATACCCTCTCGCCCCGACCAGTACCTGATGTTTTCTCTGGAACATGTACTCGTCCTCATCCTCGGCGTCCGAGTCCCAGGCCTGGTCGGTGAGCATGAACCCCGGCTCCGAGGTGGGCGTCTCACAGTCGGCGCCTGTTGGAACACAGGGCGGAGTGTCAGCGGGGTCGTAGCATAGTCATTGGCAATCGGCACAGTGGCATCGTCACGTTAAGTTGCGTGAATGTCATCAGCTACGCGCATAAGCTGAGGAAAATCCTCAAAACAAGCCATAACAGCAGCAGCGAGGGCGAATGATGGCCAAACCATCACCGTGCATACTATCAGGCGATCCAGACACCACCTCTCAGAGTACGAACACCACCTACAAGACTATCAGGTGACCATAATACCTCCATGGATCAGAGATAAATGGTATATCTTATCCATGATACCACAATGCAGACTATCTGCCGATCCTAGCACCACCTACCGGGCGGTTTGGTGACGGCCAGTTCCGCGTGTCCTTTGCCGAGCGGGCCGCGCATGCGCACAAACTCCATTCTCTGCGCGCTCGGCGAGGAGAAGAGACCGAACGTCATCCGCTGCGCCATCTTGTTACTGATACTAGCCTGGTGAAGACAACAGACACAGGCATGATGGTGAGAAAGGGACTACCGAAGATCGGGAATCGCAGGGACAGAAAGCAACTCAATGGTTGGCTTGATACGCTTTCGTTCCTCACCAGTCGCTTCCAACTGAGGCACTTCCAAAGTCTCAGCAGTGAACCATAGACTACAAAACGACACACCTGCCTCCCTTATTCCACTATTCAGCAACCAGCCTATTAAGCAGAGAAGTCTTTTCAAGCCGGCACTGAGACTCACCCTGGCGTCGTAGACCTTTTTGAGCGCGTCGTATCGGACCGAACCGAGGAAGGTGACGCCGCGGAGGGCTCCGTCCCGGTCCCGGGCCACCAGCTCCACGGCCACCATCTCTCCGTCCCGCACCAGGATATCGGTGAAAATCTGACCGAGTAAGCAGAGCGCAGTCAATGGTAACACTCACAAAGTCACAAATACCCCACGGCCACCACTCTCCCGCTCGTACCAGGATGTCGGTGAAAATCTGACCGGGTGGACAGGACAGTGCACAGTCAATAGTTAAACTAACAAAGTCCCACAACTCATCCACGGCCACCATATCGCCGTCTTGTACCAAAAACATTGAAATCTGGCCGGGCATATCATCATAATCGAGCAGTACCAGCGATTAGACCTTCGATTCATTCCCAAGGTACCACACTAGACTGTCTGTGAAAATCTGCCCGGGGGACGTGACACACTCATTTAAGTTACAGCACTCGGGTTTCATTTAAGTTACAGCATTTCAGTTACAGATAACAGCACATACACGTTCGTCTACATCATCAGTCTCAGGTCGAATACAGCAGTGCATCATTCTAGTCAACAATGAGTATCGTGCAGCAGCGGGGAAGGATCATTAAAACTCTGTTAAACATTCTGTGTCAGCCTTAGTGACTCCTTATCCGGATGACTGGCGCAGCTATGCGACAAGCGAGGTGAAATATTTGCGGGTCACCTAACACCTGCAGGACTGAATATTTACAACAACAAAAAAGATGCAGATCAAGAGTGAAATGCAGGTCCAAGGTTTTATAGACAATCGATTCTTAATATAGACAACAGACACCGTTTATTATTCTCAAACGCCGCCACTGACCATTTCATTAGCATGGAATGGCCGTTAGAGCTGACTGATCGATATCTCAAACGATACCGACGCCATTAGCATTTAATCGGAAAGGCATCACGAACCGACAGGCCCATCACAGAAGCCTAAGACACAACCACGTGAAGTCAATAATCATGGCCAAAAATAAAAGCTTCCAGCCTCTAAAGCTAGAAAATACAAGAGTTACCGTATAGCTTCGTTGAAAGATTTATATGTATACGCTAAACCACACAAATTCGTTCATACCTCGTCAAAGTTGTCGAGCATGAAGCAGATGTCTGGGTAGGTCATCTGCTCGGAGGTGCCTTTATCGCTCATCAGCCGGCGACTGGGCGATGCCCACACCCTCTGAGGGAACGAGGCAGGTCAGTAATGGGTAGCGGGAGGGTGGGGGAGGTGTAGCCGATGGCCAAATGCTGTATAACTATCACTTGTGTGGTGTGAGTTGAATGACGCATAATAAGGAAATCGATTTATAGCACGACAAATCTATTTAACGTACCCCAAGTGCTTTGTGAAAAAGCAATAAAATCTTACGACTAAATCTACGAAGTAGACGCTAGTGAAATGCAGCGTCAAGCACGTCAAACTTCCGAGTAAATATCGTAACACATGATACACAGAAACACCCTCCACCAATGGTCACGGATAACGCACCTCGGTGTGCCGTTTGAGCACCTGCAGCTCGCGCGGACTGGTGCGGGTGCACACGGCCAGTGTCAGATGGTAGTCAAAGTGGTGGATGATCATGTTGACGTAGATGGTCTCCTCCCAGTCGATCTCCGGGTCACCGATCGGCAGCTTCTTGCTGTCGCGACGGAACACCTCCACAAGAGTCTGTGGGGACGACGGGAGTGGCACGTCAGGAGCATCGGCCGTGGAAAAAGCTTGAAAGGTGCAGAAAATTCATCGTATCACAACATATATGGGGCATTGTATGCAAAGCATTCATTTCTTACTCTGTGGGGGAGGGTTTGATGGAGTGCAGCACGATACTTCGCTACAAAAATCAACACTGAAAATAATAATTTGTTTCAAGGCTATTCCGTTTTCCCGTACTCCACCGACTCCATCCATCTACCGGCCACTCTTGGAGACAGTTTCAAATGACACTTACCTCGTATCTTGGAATGTATTTGCGGGCCTCCTTGAGGTGACGTTTGCGGATGAAAAAGAGCAGATCGTCTGACTCCTGGGCGCTGCGGCCATCCTCGAACAGAAAATGTCGCACAAACAGGTCTGTCCAGTAGGCTGTGCCATGCAGCATCACAAAGCCACTATCTGAGGAGTAGGTAGAGTTGCCATATGTTATGAACCAACTAAAAAAACTGGTCATCATTGTATGGCCACAATGAGCATGGCAGTCAACACATCCTCATCAAAAGAGGAGGTGCCTCTTAGTCTTGAGTCAAGGATCTACTTGAAGGGGTACCTAATGACCTTTACTTAAGGTAAGTACTTAAGGGGAAAAATATTCAATGACAGCAAATTTCAGAACTTAAATATGTTAAGTTATTCAAGAAAATATTTCTTTTTAAAAGGCTCACCATCTTTGAGAATCTGTCTCATTTCCTTGGCCCTCTGGAAATTTATTTCTTCTATTAGCTGCTCCAATGAGGTCAGTGTCCCTCTCCCTCCAGTCTTGGAAGAGAATGCCATTCTTGTAGAAAATTAGCTTGTGTGCTGTAAAAAGAAAATATAAACAAGGACCTCACACTTTCCATCTTAGCACTAACAAGAATGAATAAACATTACTACTTAGATGGCCCTTGCATGAAAATAAGCATGTTATGTTAACCAGTCTCAATTATTGTTCATGCAACATCCACGTTTGAAGCGATCTTATAAGCAGCTACACCTTGATTTAGCATTAAATGCCTTGCAGTGATCTTGAAATACAAATATGGGCACCTACAAGACTGAAAAGCACAGCAATAGTCAATGAGTTGACAGCCACACCAGCCATGGGATACATTGGACGGTTCCCACCAGACTTTCTTGTGTAAGATCTGCAAAGAACCAAGGAAATCTACTATGTCACAGTCACCCACAATCCATACTATCATTGACCCAACCATTGACCACATATGTACTCAATATTTCAAACTGACACACTTTGTAGTCTGGGGCATGCATGTGGAACACCACAGACTGACTGTTTTGCAAAATGACTAGCTTTGGTCCTTCTTTTGACATTTCTACTCTACTAATGATGACTAAATATAGAACTTTGGTGTTTATCTGTTTTTTATTACACAATTTTATTTTCACACAGATACATTTAAACACGCCAAGCATGGTTCATCACAGTTCTGCAGCAAACGTCAGTTCTCGTGTTCCGCCTCACGACGCGAACTTGATGTTAATCTGTTGCTATAATCAATAATCAATCATACCTAAGGCAGAAGGCAATGGTTTCCAATTGCCAGGTCGATGAGCTTTCAACATCTCGGCCTTACCTCTCTGCCCAAACTGAAGCTAAAATCTTAAAATTAGACTACCTGACTACATCAACCTTTACCACCTTGCATAAGCTTTGTAACAGCTGCAGCACATAAGCATAGGTAGGTACAAAGTATATTGAGTGAATATGCATAAGCATAAGCAATCAACATTGAAGTTCACCTAATGTTACCTAGATGAATGAATGAATGAATAAATAATATTTAACGAATGAAGCAGAATGAAGAGGACGGTGAGTCACAGATTCATTTGTCGCAGTGCGTCATATATGGATTTGGAATCTAGCAGACAACAATAAGTGTGTTCAAAAAACTGCTGCGATGCATTAGCATATCCTGGAAGCAAATGAAAGCAAATAATCTGCTTGATTCAATGTTTGTTTCTTATCCAATTCCAATGTCATTTTAGTTTTTATCATTTAATGAATGTTTCAAAACATGTTATTTTCTACTTTGGTGATTTAGAAAGGTTTGGAAGAAAGATACATAAAGGGATTTCGAGAAAAGAACACAGTTTAAACAAAACTTATGATCTCCGAAAAAGTAATTATGATTGAAATATGACGTCATTAAAGTTAGAAAATAAGACACAACAAACTTTGTAATACATCAAATGACATGACTTCAAATGACATGTACATTTGAAGTCTTGAGATCGTCATTAGCAAGGGCAATAAGATGTCCATAAGTATATATTGCAGAAATTTTGCAATTATGTCACACAAAGTAAGGTATATGAAGGAAAATGATTCATTTAGCATTGAACCTTTTCCTTGATTGGTCATTTTTATTATGACGACATTAGATGGGAGTCTTGCTCGCGCTTTCGGCGGGGTCGGACGCTTCTCGTCGAGCTCTCGCCCCGGATCACCTGCCGCTGCGCTCCTAGCCTGTCAACACCGAGTGACCTTGAACATTAACTGCGATACCAAAGACCTTTATGAAATATATCCTGTTAATCCTTACTTTTTGGTCCTAAACCTTCCGCCAAATCAACGAAAACAAGTGTGATGACACTGGAACGGTCTCCAATTTTGAAACGTCGGGGCAGACGACTCGGTTCAAACGGACAATCAGCTGTTCCAACTACGACGGCTGTAGGGGAAGATGGCCGCCCCCACGCTGCCCCGCCGGAGCCCGCGCCAGGTTCGTCGAGAAGTGTCTCAACGAGTTTCGACGGTAAGAAAAGTGGAAAGAAAGCGGTATCTGAGTCGAAAGACGGTGGTGTGGAACAGCAGAGGAGCGGAGATGAGGATCTAACCCCAGAAAAAGGTGAGAAAACCCTTTCAGCTGCTAGTAAGTGCAAACGAAACATTCAGAAGCTCGATGAGAACGCTTACCGACTCTGGGGAGGCTGTTCTAGAACATCTAGTGACACTGGGAGTGAATCAACAATCTGCAAAGGTGGGCCCCTAAACATGGATTGTGGGAATCCAGTTCTTGATAGCCAGGAGGGGGTCCAATGTGACTGCTGCTCCGGGTGGTTCCACGATACATGTCAGGGAATCGAAGTCCCAGCAATCCGAGCTCTGGACAAGTACAAGATTCTCTCATGGCTCTGTGCCGAATGCAAGTACAACATCAAAAAGAAGGATGAGTCCAAGAAGGTAGACTGTCTCGAAACAAAAGTTCACAACCTTGACACGGATGTACGTAAGCACATGGAGTTTGTCGAGAACTTCCTCAAGGACCAGGAAAAAACTCACATGGAGCAAAGTAAACAGCTAGAACAAAGCCTAAAAACCTACAGTGAAGAGAAAAAAACATATGCAGAAATTTTGAAAGGTACATGTGAAGAAGTTGCCCAAAAGGTGTCAGAAAGGGTGGCATCCCTTCCAGCCAACAATGGTAAGGGTGAAGCTCAGACCACAGGTGCATCTGGGAAAACTGTCCAGGATATCTCATCTGTATTTGATGACTTCCTCGACAAAGAGAAGCGGAAGTTAAACGTGGTTGTTCACAATCTGAAGGAGTCCCTGGGTGACTCTTTTAAGGAAAGGTCTGAGGGAGATGCTGCCCTGTTCACATCCATGATAAAGAATGCTTTCAAGTTGTCTGTCACTCCTGTGAAAACATTCCGAGTTGGAAAGAAACTCCCTGATAGACCACGACTTCTTATAGTCACACTTGACAGCTTGTCCTCCAAGTATGACATACTTAAGATGTCCCCCCAACTAAGGAGCTCGGATGAGTTCAGCGACATCTTTATCAACCCAGACATGACCCAGAAAGAACGGGAACTGGGAAAGAAGCTAAGAGATGAACTTGCTGCCCGTAGAAGAGCTGGCGAAACAAACCTCACTATCAGAAGAGGCAGAATTATCCAGAGAGATGATGGAGCAGCTCGCGCATCTGCTCCCGAGGGAACAGCTCGTTCATCTGCTCCGCAACCAAATCTCAACTCAGTGCCACCCCAAGCTCCTGCTCCAGGGCCACGCACTGTTGTTGGCCAGGAAGGAACTCTCCCTGTACAGGAATCTGGAGCCAACCAGGAGTCTGCTTCAGTCTCAGCCGATGCTCTCAATCCAACTCCGAGTGCTAGACCAACCAGCACTCACCAGAGAGGCGGTCAAAAATGACTAGCCTCCCACCTCAAGGAACATGGCAAAACGGGGCTGAAAGTAATTTATACGAACACTGACCAGTTCCCTAACAAGAAGGACGACCTTTGCATGCTCATCGCTGGTAACGAACCTGATGTAATCTTGCTCACCGAGGTCATCCCGAAAGCACAAGTTCATCCTATTTCTCCAGCCATCTTGTCTATCCCTGGCTTCACTCTACATTGTAACTTTGAGCCTGACCAACCCAATCTCGGCTCTAGTGGAAAAAGGGGTGTTTGTATCTATGTGAGAAACAATCTACAGGCTGTTCAAGTTGAATTTAGTGGCCACAACTTCGAGGAGCAATTGTGGGTGAGGTTTGAACTGATGAACTCTGACATCTTGCTTGTTGGGTGCATCTACCGAAGTCCTTCAGGAAACAATCTCCAAAGCATGCATGAGCTTGCAGACCTTCTTGAACAGGTGTGTTCACTGAATCCATCCCATCTGCTTATTGCTGGGGACTTTAATGTGCCTGATGTCGACTGGGATAGTGGCTTCTCAACCGCTCCTGACAACCATTACTCTCACTTACTGGTGCAAACTTTCAACGACTGCCTCCTCGAGCAGCATGTCTCCAAACCAACCAGATATAGACAAGGTGAAGCCTGTAACGTGCTGGACTTGATTCTCACCAATGAAGCAGGACTGGTCTCCAATTTAAACTACATGCCTGGTCTAGGAAACAGCGATCACGTTCTGCTGAAGTTTGACCTGAATTGTTATGCTGGCCCAGGGAAATCTGACATCCCGAAGCTAGATTTCAGGCGTGCCAACTTTCCCACCCTGAATGCACTGCTGAGCGATGTTAACTGGGGTGTGTTGGCCCAGTTGAATGTGGACCAAAGCTACAACTTCTTCAAACACTCAGTTGCTGGGGCTGTCAAGGCCTCTGTTCCCACTGCTAGGGCAGGACAGAGGAAGAAGAATCTATACATCAACGGGAAGGCCAACCAGCTCAAAAAGAAGAAAGTAACCCTGTGGCGCCAGTACACGGCAACCAAAGACCCCATTGATCATGCCAGATTTGCACGCTGCCGAAACGAGCTCAGGAGCCTCACCAGAAGCTTGCGAAGAAACTTTGAGCTCCAACTGGCGGCCAAGATCAAAACCAATCCAAAGGCCTTCTGGCAGTACACGAATTCACGCCTGAAAGTGAGGACGGGCATCGGAGATATTCTTGACCCCGAAGGCAGGTCAGTCAGTGACGACTCAGCAAAAGCCGACATCTTGAATGACTACTTCTCCAGTGTCTTCACTACTGAGGAACAGGAAGTTCCCGATCTCGCCCGGCAGCAAACCTCACTCAACATCAGCGATGTGTCCATCTCTCCAGAAATGGTCCGACAGAAGCTGGCATCCCTGAAGACCACGAGCTCTCCTGGCCCCGACGACATCCACCCAAGAGTTCTATCTGAGTCGGCCAACTCCATCAGTGCTCCTCTCGCTTCCATCTACCGCAAGTCATTAGATGAAGGATGTGTTCCCCACGACTGGACACTTGCCACAGTTGTGCCCATCTTCAAAAAAGGAGACAGAAGACGACCAGAGAACTATCGTCCAATTAGCCTAACTGCAGTGACGTGCAAGGTCATGGAGTCGCTGATAAGGGACCAATTGATGGCATACCTCACCTCGAATGGACTGTTGTCGCGTCACCAGCATGGTTTTCGCCCACACCGATCCTGCACGACTCAGCTACTGGAAGTCTTGGATGACTGGAGCCGTGCGATTGAAGACGGGAGCCCGGTCGACGTCATATATCTGGACTTCAGAAAAGCTTTCGATTCCGTCCCTCACGAACGCCTACTCGTCAAACTGAGAGCATACGGTGTGACTGGACACCTCCTTGAGTGGATAAGGTCATTTCTATCCAATCGGCAACAACGAGTCGTCGTGCAAGGTTGTCAATCCACCTGGTCTCCTGTCACCAGCGGGGTGCCACAGGGTTCTGTACTAGGGCCCCTTCTGTTCCTTGTATATATCAACGACATCCCCGACGCGGTGAGGTCCTGCATCAAGATTTTTGCTGATGACACGAAGTTGTACCGCAGCATTGATACTCCCAGTGATGCATCCCTGCTCCAGCTCGACATTGATGCTCTCACCACCTGGTCCAAGAAGTGGCAGCTTGCGTTCAACCAGAGCAAGTGTGCGTCCTTGAACGTCGGGGCCAAGAACTCTGGTCACTCCTACTCTATGAACGGTGTCTGCCTCGCCTCCACCTCAGCTGAGAGAGATCTGGGTGTCATCATCGATCCCGAGCTGAAGTTCAGGAGGCAGGCTTCCTCGGCTGTATCAAAGGCTTCACAGATTCTGTCTCTGATCCAGAGGTCATTCTCGAATCTGGACGAGATCACTCTGCCGATTTTGTTCAAGGCATTTGTCAGGCCCCACCTTGAATACGGCAACCTCATATGGGGCCCGTTCAATCGTGCAGACATCAAGCTTGTGGAGCGAGTCCAGCGGCGCGCTACTCGATTAGTGTCCGGCATCAGGAGCAAACCATATACTGAGAGACTGAAATGCCTGAAGCTTCCTTCACTGCTCCACCGAAGACGCCGTGGTGACATGATTGGAATGTACCAGCTGCTGCATAACGAGATCGATATCGACTCGGACAAGTTTGTCAAGCCTGCGTCCACGAGGTCCAACCGTGGCCATCCCTGGAAGCTGTACAAACCACATGCCAAGTCACGAGCCAGAAGACAACTATTCACTATTCGAGCGCTCAACGACTGGAACTCCCTCCCTGCAACAGTTGTCCAGGCCCCATCCCTCAATGCCTTCAAATCCAGACTTGACAAGCATTGGGCCAATCTGATGTACCTGACTCCTACTCACGACTAGAGATGACCACCAGTCACGAGCTCGACGAGAGCGGGACCTACAGGCGAGTTGCCTTTCAAAATTCCCGATAGTGTAAGGTAAGGTAAGGTAAGGTAGATCTAGCACCAGAAGCAGCCGCTCGGGTCAGGGTATATATATTGAGTCTTGATTGAGTCGCTCGGCTCCCTCTCTTTCTTTTCAGCCAATCTTCATTTCGCGTGAGAAAGTTACGTGGGTGGACGGTTCACATTCTGATTCTGTTTGTTGCATTTGTTGTGCAATAAACACCGATCCATTGACCGGGGAGGTAAGATCTGGGAATTTGGTAGTCATGATACCACATACGCATTTCGACATTTTGCACCTAAGGCTCAAAATTGAATAAAAACAACACCATATTGTCACTTGTCACTGTCACAAACCATATATCAACCTTGAAAATTGTTTGTACGGTCATTTGCTCCCTCGCCATGCCTGGACCTCCTCTACCGACCTCCTCAGGCTGCAAAATAATGCCTTAAAAAGTCTTGGGCCTCTAGCGAGTAGGGACATAATCCACATCCCACTCCACAGCACATGCCCGTTCGTGCTACGTCTGCCTTGCCTATACAGGACTGAGCTCATATTGTTGATGTTGCTGATTAACATCATGTAATAATGACCAAGTCACCTTTCAAATGATTGATAAGATGCAGGGAGATTGATACAGACCGCTCAGGCTGGGCTGGTAGCTTATTGATAAAAATATTGACCAAATGATGATATGATCCCAAGCCCTGTCGGTGTCCACAAGTAAATGACACTAGATGGTTAGGACAGTTTTCCAGAGCTGTAAAATAATTGAGTCCAGTAATTTTCTGTTGGACAAACTGACATCAGGCACATTTGTGATAAAGCATGTAGGTATGTTACTTGTTGATCTGGTCTCATAAGAATCTTACTCACTAGTCAATTGACATATAAGTTATGTGTCAGAAGTATGCTTATGGAATGTTCTGCACTAACTAAAGCTCTTCCTGTGATAACATTTTGTATGAATTTGTTGTGTTCACAAGGTTACTTTTGGTTTGTTTTCCACAGCCTGCTGTTTGAGGGTTTTGGAGTACAACATCTCAAAGCTAAGACAATGGTGAAAAAGCTGGTGATTGGAACAAGGAAAAGTGAGGTAAGAGATGCATGCTTCAGTATGAAATTAAACAATTCAGGAACATTTTCTGATGATCAATATAATAATAACAGTTATCTAGCAAAGGAAGTGCCTAAGCTTTTAAATTACTGACCATAAGCCCATTCCTTGTAATATTTCTTTTTTGGTCCTCTCCTAGACATATCATTTTGTCATAGTTTCTAGCTGAATTGCAACATTGATATTTCCCCAATTAGCTCTTTGAGCTATGACATCGAGCTGGAACTCCTGTCTGCACATCTTCAGGGACTCCCTGTCAGAAGACTACTGCAATTTATTTACCCCTCATCCTAACATGCATAGAACGTCGATGACGTCCGCTGCGGCGCGGTGGTCGCGATATCCCTCCCCCATACCCCTTGAAGACGTCACGCACTATCGACTGATGAGACATGTCACACAGTAAGTGTGACATCAGTATTTTTTTTTTTTTTACATCCTGATGATGAGATGGTGCATTCCCCGGCTGGTCGAGGCGAGACATAGTGAACAGTTCCTATCTGCGGAGACACAGAAGAGGTAAACCGGAGGTTGGCGCTGCGGACCCACCTGCGCGGTGGCCATTATTTCAGCTCGGCGGGGAACCGGCGCAGTTTTAGACTCGTCTGACGTGTTTGACTGCTGCGAAGGGGCTATGTGAGGAGGAAGAATGGCGTGGCTTATATAAATGTGTCGATATAGATGTGGGTATATGTCCCAAAGTAGGTACATGCTTGTGTTAAGTTTTCAATACTTTCCTCTGCTTTATTTCTATTATTTTATCTAACGAGAGCAGTGCTGAATTGCTGGCTTATTGAATGACGGCTGTCAAAAGCAGGCAGTTAATTAGACATTTCTCGCCGTGAAAATGCATATGCCTACCGAAGCTTTAATGAACTACACCAAACATTGACACCATCCATTCTCGACACACTGGCAAACGATTTCGCCGTCGGAACTTGTTTGGCTACTCGAGATCGTGAAACACGCGTCACGTGGGGAGAGTCCTGTCTGGTCCCCGCCGCACATTTTGCCAGTCACCCGGTGAGCTCGGGCGTCTAGCACATCTGATCCGCTATTCCGAATCCGGTATGCGCATACGTTACAAGGTTGGCGGCCAAGACAACATTGCCAATGTCGCTACGGGATTGGGTCGTGGCAGTCCGAATGCGATGCATTAGATCCAGTCCAGGTGTTGATCTATAATCCAGATAGCAGTGGAGGCAGTCCGAGTGTAGATATCCGGAGTCGAACATCTGTTTCAGTCTGCGTGATAAGCAGAAGTTGTCTCGATATCAGTCTACGGTCCCGCCTTCCCTCTCAGTTCCGAGTAGGCGTGACCCGGCTGCGCCCAGCCGTCGGTGGAGCCCGGTAGCTCTCCGGATGTTCGGTAGAGCCGTGACGTCATTTTCCGCCGCCGGTACGTGCCGATCGGTCTCCCCGGCCGGTGTGGGATTACCGCGGGTAGCCGGGAAGCCCCGCATCGTCCCTCCATTCCCATATCCTGTCTGTCCAGTCCTTTCCCGTGTATCGCCCGTGATCGGTCCGCCCCGTCTGGAAGCTCTTTACCTCCTCTGACGTACCCCAAAATCCGACTACTTCGCCGTCCTCTCTCTCTCTCTCTCTCTCTCTCTCTCTCTCTCTCTCTCTCTCTCTCTCTCTCTCTCTCTCTCTCTCTCTCTCTCGCTCTCTCTCTCGCTCTCTCTCTCTCTCTCTCTCTCTCTCTCTCTCTCTCTCTCTCTCTCTCTCTCTCTCTCTCTCTCTCCCTCTCCCTCCCCACTCCCCACTCCCCACTCCCCACTCCCCACTCCCCACTCCCCACTCCCCACTCCCCACTCCCCACTCCCCACTCCCCACTCCCCACTCCCCACTCCCCACTCCCACTCCCACTCCCTCTCCCTCTCCCTCTCCCTCTCCCTCTCTCTCTCTCTCTCTCTCTCTCTCTCTCTCTCTCTCTCTCTCTCTCTCTCTCTCTTTCTTTTCCGCGCACTGGAGATGCAGCTCAACCCACGGAGACGGTGTTATTCCCGAATTCCGACCAAGCTGGTGGGCATAGTGGTATACGTCTGGTTGCTGATAACGTGCCCGTGCTGCTCGAAACATACATATGGGCCCAATCTTACCAATGCCGTTAGTAGGATTTGGTAGCTTTAGCCGGAGTTAACCCGCGACCTGGTGGGGGGGGGCTATTTTTTGCCCCCCCCCCCCCTCCAGACTTTTCGATATATCTCCAGAACCGCTGCGCCGATCGTCACCAAACTTTCAGTACCCTCCCGGACATCAATTTTACACATTGTGACCAAAAATTTTTCCAAAGGCTATGATACGTTGGCCGGAAATGACGTCAGAGTGACGTCATGTTCTGCCGTTTTCGACCCAAAAAAGGGTTTCGCGGGAAGAGCTGTCAGGCCTATAACTTTGCAAATACAGAAAAATGATTAAAGACATAAAAGCTGTAGAATTGACAGGGCTACAAAACTGCCATCTCGGATTTTTGAAATTTTTGGATTTTGATCCCCAAAAATCAAAAAATAGGTTTTTTGGATATAATAGTCGAAAAACCCAAAAAGTTTTTTGAATTTCGCAAAAACCGGGATATATGTGATAGTCCTTACCGCTTTCCATCCACATACCAAATTTGAGATTGATACCTATTTTTTTTGGCGAAGTTATAGCGAAAAACCTGTTCAAAATTGATGACGTCAAATTTTCAAACTCAATTTTTAGCAATTCTAGACCCCGTAGCGCAAAACAAAGACCACCATTAGACTCCCCGTGACGAGCTGCATCGAATCAATACCCATTTTATGCAAAACTATCAACTTTAAAATTTGACCTTTTTTGGCCTGACCTTGACCTGACCTTGACCTGACCTTCACCAGAAAGTGACCTAAGCCGTACCTGATAGTCTTATAACCAACACCATTGAGTTCGAAATGAAAAATTGGCCATAAAACATGCATCACACAGCCTTAGTAAAGTTGGGTTCATGTGACCTGACCTGTGACCCTTGGTGACCTGACCTGTGACCTGACCTGGTATTGTCAGTGACCTCTTATAGCAACATATCTACTAGGCAACTGACGCCCTATCGCTGATTCTCGACAAAATGCGTTTTCCTTGGTGTTATAGCGCATTCCCTAGAAGACCCGTGAACGGTGAAACATTTTATCTTTGACCTGACCTGTGACGTCATCGGTGACCCCGAGGTCAATAAAATTTGGTTTCCCTCGACAAATTTGACAGGCCTTTCGAACGCCGTTTGAATTTTGCGGATCCGTCCAGTAGTTTCGGAGATACGAGGGGGGGGGGCAAAAAATAGCCCCCCCCCCCACCAGGTCGCGTTATAAACAGACCCCACCAGGGCGCGGGTTAACGGCTTTGATATCAAATATATCCTTGTTATTTACATCCAGCTAATCTTGTCCAATGATTTTGATTGCGTGAATTATGAATGTTGCCAGAACGAAAGAATAAATGAATGTTGAATAGTTCTGAATGCTACCAAATGCCGTGAATGCGCATTCACGGCAGTTGGTAAGATTGGACCATGGTCTCGTGCTGCTAGCGTAGCCTGTCGGTCTTGTTAAGGTAGACTTGGTCCGTCTAGAACTTTATGAAATAATGTGCACTTTTCAGTAGGTATGGATATCGGCGACTCAGTTTAGGAGGATGGGGGAGGTGTGCGTGAGAGCCGGGAGCTCACGCCATCTCTCTCTCTCTCTCTCTCTCTCTCTCTCTCTCTCTCTCTCTCTCTCTCTCTCTCTCTCTCTCTCTCTCTCTCTCTCTCTCTCTCTCTTTCTCTCTCTCTCTCTCCCTTTCCATCTCCCTCTCCCTCTCCCTCTTCCTCCCTCCCTCTCTGCCACCATCTTTCGCTGAATCTCATCAGCCTGGGCGTCGGACTGGGATCAGACTTTCCCAGCGGCTCGGTATCGTGGTCGGTCCAGAACCGACACGGCTCGCCGTGACTCGCCAGCACGCGGGCCGTGCCGAGCTGCAGACCGTGCCCGGCTGCTGAGGCCGGGCCACGCCGCATACTGCGGTGGGCCGAGGCGTGACTGGCGGCGGTTAGCGGTCAGATCTCGGCCACACGCACCTGTTTCCGCTGACCTCTGGTTGTTACCGTGCGTTGGCAGACACTGGTCATGCGTTGTTTTGAATTGGCATGTGGTGTAGCAGCTTCCCTTTTTATTTCTGCGGTTTATCAATAGCGGTGTGCCCGATCACTTAACCAGTCGTATACCGCACCTGTTTGCGATGCATTTGGCAAAAATTTAGCCACTGACGCACCGGAACAAAAATGAATTTGGCTCACTTTAGCTTTGACTTATTTCATTACCCAGCGAATGTCTTCTCAGCATATAGGATACGTTGTGTTGGGTACACGTCTGAAAATGCGACCCCTCGTGAGCCCCTGGCCAACCCAGCCACAGCGTTTCCCCTCGCTCTCGATACCCGTCAAAGTGGGCTCGTGGATGGAACACCTGTAGTTGACGGTGCATGATGGCCTTGGGAGCAGCTGCGCTCGGTCCCCGGCTGCTCAAATATATTGTCATGGGCAGGGGTGTCGTTTTCCGAAAATGATTGGTAGTGCCCAAAGGCGGCGGCTGGCCATATATGACGGGGCTTACAAGGTAGGGTACCCCCAAATCTGCCTTTCTCATCGGATTTCGGCCACTTATTTTTCGCCCTGGTCATTGACAAGACTAACCGAAATCTAAAAAAACACAAAAAAAAACTTTGGAAATCTGGGTCCACACCGGACGCCATGCACAAAACGTGCAGTTATATAGGCAATAGTGTCGGAGGAATGCACGCCATTCTGAAAGAGGCCCACATCGACTTAAAAGGACGGCTGTGCTGAAAGGGGACAGGAACAGCTTTGAGGGCCCAAGCCGACTAAAAAAGACGGCTGCGGGGCCAGGAACGGTTTTGAAGACCCACGCCAATTGAAGGGTTCGACAACTAACGAGGACTGGAAACACGATAGTTAGAAAGACCTGCTTGCCAAAATAAAAGGATGACAGTACGAGGGGCGTTCAGAAAGCTACGGGCCCGACCATGAAGGAGCAGAGAGATACAGCATCGACTCATTAGACCAAAAAGTTCATTTATTCAAATAAACACCGTTAAGACAAACACATTTCGCGCAGCGCTTCGCGAGAGCCCTCAAGGCCTCCATAACCAAGTGGGTTTTGGACCCATCCTGCACGTCCAAGACGGCTGATTTCGTCTCCCTGCTGTTAGCGAGGTTGCCGCTGCTAATTTTCTTATGTTGGGGAAGAGGTGGCAACCACTAACCAGTAACCAGAGTGTGCAAGGTTCGGAGAGAAAAAAGTGGATGCGACAACAACTCGAAGCTCATCGCTTCACTGTTCGTCATCCCGCCCATGTACGCAGGTGCGTGGTCGCGGATCAGGTGCACACTTTACGTCAGCTTCCCTATAGCCTCTCCTCGATGTTTATCGAATGGACGCACATCATCAATTGTGTGCCCCTGTTTTGGAAAGTTGACGAGCGGAGGGGGGTCGCATCGACCCCTCCCCCTGCCAGGCCGTGTTATGAAAAATGCCCAGGGCGAGGGTTAACGCTTGGTGCCTTTTCTGCACTAACTACTATGAAACGAATCACTGCTCTCTTCTGGGCGTCGCCCATCCTATCCGAAATGGCGAACTATGCTACGAATAGAAGCCCGAATCAATCACAGAAGAGACTTAATTAATGGCCACTTACTTAATTTGCGTAAGTGGACATCCCAATAACACATCATTTAACACACCGCCTTGCAGGCCAAAATTCCAACTCCTTCATTGTTCGGCCCGAAACTTTTTGAACGCCCCTCGTAGTTACGAGCTTCAGTTTTCGGGGTCTGATGCGGTAATGACCTGGCGTTGAACCCTGGGGAATCAGGCTGCATCACCCACTCAAATCAATATACCTATGGCCTATTCTGGAGCACCGCGGCACCTTCCGAAGTCGGTGTAGGGCCTCCAGCGGCTGGTGTGGAGACGGATCGGGGTCTATTAGGGGCGGTCGCGTGGTATGCGGGACTCAGAGGCAGTTATGAACCTCTATAACCAATTGCGTTTTCGAGCCTCTTAAAATCCATTAAGGACCGGAGTCCTAGACACGTGAAACCTCATTGTCAGCTACATGCACCTACTGTGGCTAGAACCTTATTTATGTACTTGCATATGTGCTTATTTAATATTTGCTTATCTGTTTATTTTGATTTTTTATCAACTGATAAGTGACAAAAGATTGGTAGGGCTCAGCGAACATTGGTAGGGCCCAAATAAACATTGGTAAGGCTCGGGCCCTACCAGGCCTATACAAAACGACGCCCCTGACTATTGTGAAACTTGGTAGGTAGGTAGGTACTAGGTAGGTAGGTACCACATAACTTGAAATTACTTGACGTAATGACATGATGTGGAAAGTGAAAATGATACCTAGGTATTGATGGAAATTTATGGACTTAGGTACGCTACAAGAAGATTGAATTGGTCAACCAATTCAAATTCAATCTACTTGTGGAGTAAGTCTATAGATTTTCATCAATAGTTACCACTTACCATTGAAGTTACTTGCTATCATGTTGATTTTATACATAAGAACCTCATTCATTTTATTTGTATGACATGTTTGAATGCAATTTTCTCAATAAGTGAAGAAAAATGTTGGTAGTGCTCAACAACACATTGGTAGTGCTCAGCTGAACATTGGTAGTGCTCGGGCACTCCCAGGCCTATACAAAACGACGCCCCTGGTCATGGGTGTGGTGAGTGGTAGTTGGGTATCATTCTCAAACGGAAGTTCATTTTTGTGTTTAATATTACATTTAGTATAAAATATCATGAGATGCAATGTGGGCGTTGAAAGAATCGGATGGCATATGCATTGCATATGCAATGTATATTGCAATATATTTACAACTTCACGAGGTTCTGTTTCCATCTTTTCAGTCATCACTGAGTGCCACAAAGGGTAGAACCACTCTCGTGTGGGGAATCCATGAGGAGATCTGTTGGTGAGAAAAACAACCGCGGTGGGACCATTGACTCATTAGCTCGCTGACTTGATTTACTACGGCTCATTGACTCACTGACTCACTGAGCTCCATTCCATTGACCAACAGACTCGATGGACCTCAGCTTAGCCCCTGACTTCACTGTCACGATCGACCTCGACTCATTGACTCACTGACACGATAACTGCTGTGGCCTGCTGTCCACCGACTGTCAAATACGGGTCTAACGACGGTACTTATTGACCGCGGCGCATTGCACCCAACAGCCGGGGAGACACGGGCGCCGGAGCTCAGCCAGCAGCGACGCGATTGTGCGCCAATTTACACTTCGTCTCAGAGGCTGTCCTACGTCAGCAGTGACGTACAGCCCGAGCGTGTCGGTAAATGGCGACAAGGCCAGTTCGCCGTCTACTGAGAGAGTCTGCTGGCTCTGGCTAGACGAGACGGACTGGCCGGGAGATAGACTAGCCAACACAGGGACACGGAGACCGACGGGCTTTTATCGTTCGACCCTGTTTGGTTGTTATAGCTGCCGTATTGGTCACTCACTGCAACCGTGTGTCATCTATCTGACGGTGTAAATATCGCTTCTATCGGAGTGTTTACTCTGTGTTATTTACACGGATTTCTTAGCCGTTTTGCCCATCTGATCCGAGACGTTTCCGGGTCTTTATCAGGCCCGGGCGTGTCTAGACTCCTGTCGGTATTTCTGTCATGGTGCTGATACACGGGGCGAGGGTTAATCTGCAGATCGCATGGCTGCCATTGTCTATTGGTCCACACACCTCCTGCTCCCACATTGCCTAGCGTTTGCATTCTCTGTGGGGCGGATTGCGGGATGAGTCTCGTGCGACCTCCGCTGTTCATTCCGGTCTTTTCCCGCAAATTCCGGCTTCAATTCAACCACTCATGAGTCATGACATCTACCTGCATTCTCCTGACTTTGACCCTGTTCGACTCAGCACTTGACCTCTTTGCTTCCTTTCTATACCCCTGTCGGGACTCGGGACCGTCATCCGTGTAGAAGTCGAGAATGGCGGTCACGCAGTGTGTCCTGTGCTAGCCCCAATCAAGTCTTTGCTCCTCCGTCTAACCGTTTCTGTTCTCGGCTTAGCCCACAATTGTTGTTTGTTATCGACCATGGGGCGATGTACGGTTGTGTAATGTCGTGCCGAACTGTCACGGCATGTGACCGGTCTGTAGTGAAAAAGATAATAGGGAAACGGTCACCAAAACACTTCACCGACATGTTGTACGCTATTACGTGAATGCTTTCTGTGCTGGCCACAGAGTGCAATTCCAATTTCCATGACGCAACCATGCGATATTAATCTTATCCTTGGCTACGAGCCGCCGGCACGGTTAAAAGCTAACCAAACATTGCTTGGTCAAACGCCGATTACGAGCGTATTCAAACACTCTGATAGTATATGTCATTTCATGTCTGTTCAAAGTACGAAGAGTTTGGGCCCTACAAGTCGACGTCCGTCAAATAGGGACCTGTTGAACAACGCAACTCGACATATCTGAACTTTTGACACAAACCCAGCTCTGATGTTTTCACTGGGGTAATGCCTGATGGTTGCCCGTGACCTTTTCTTTTTGTAGTCAGTCATTGCAAAAATCATCGAATGCTTTCGCTCCCGAGTGACACTTTAACGCGCACGATCTTTCAGACTAGTTAAATGCCAAGTGCATGTATTTCAGTTATAAAACCAAAGCCAAAGACTGACACTAGCATTTGAGCCAAAGGTTCAGTAGCTGTCATTGATCATTCTGTGAGACTTTTGTGTTTTATATCGGTCCATCGGTCACGCATTTCGTTACGGTAGACTAGATTCGGTAGATTATATACTCTGGGCATTCGTCATGAACAAGCTATGCTATTCTAACCATGTGAACTTTTTTTCCTAGGCAAGGCCTATTGTAATGAACTTTAGTGACCTATCCCGTCTGTTTTTTCGCAGCTGGCCATGATCCAGACGAACTGGGTCAAAGATGAGCTGAAGAAGATAAACCCCGAGCTGGAGATCGAAATCGGTATGTGGTAGTGACTGAAACCTAGCCAAGCTGATCAGAAATGTTTTAGGCCAAGCTCACCCAGACGTCTAATCAGTTTATCTTTGCTGATCAAACCACGTTTTCCAACATCTATCTTTCTACCTTTCCCTTTCTTGACTCCCGTCTTCCGCCTGCAGTCCCTATGTCTACAAAAGGCGACAAGATCCTGGACGTGGCGCTGAGCAAGATCGGCGAGAAGAGCCTGTTCACCAAGGAGCTGGAGCTGGCGCTGGAGGCGCGCAAGGTGGACGTGGTGGTGCACTCGCTGAAGGACCTGCCGACCGTGCTGCCCGACGGCATGGTCATCGGAGCCATCTGCGAGTCAGTACCTTACCGTGGGGGGTCGAGATGCATCCATGGTATGTCGCCTGTCAGATTATTAGACATGTGTCCCGGTGTTGGCTTCTGTCAGATGTGTCCGTGGCCGTCAGAACTCCATCTGACTAATGTCCGTCACTGAATGATGTGCGGGATCGGACAATTCATACAATTCGCCAAACCCGTGACTTATACCGTGGCCAGTCTGGTTCCTCACCGATCGTCAGTTCCCTTCTTCAGTTCCTTTCCTCACCGACCTTCAGTTTAACCTTGCCGTCCGTCGATCTCGCACTGTGCTCCAGCCCCGATGTCCCGCCCGCCGCCCTTGAGCCGTTTCTGCTGACACCGTGGGACTCGGCTGTGGCGCGCCTCGAGTAGCATTGTTTTCCCGACGCAATCAGCTGCTGGAGTGGCTGTTTCTGGCTATCCCATTGCACGGCTCAGTTCAGCTCGGGCTCTCCGTGTGTGGCATTGCTGAGGGTCACAAACGCTTCGGTAGATGTTACGTGATCGGACACTTAACTTTTGTTGGGAGAAGCTGGTGTCAGCACAAGATTATTCAACCGAGTGAAATTGGTGGGTTGTTAGGCACCCGAGCGTGTTTGGTGGTGGCAAAGGTTGTTTCAGCTGCCAATATTTGGGGAATTGTTTTTTTTTTTTTGTCATTATGCGGCTGTGTGTTGTACCCTGTCGTACTAGTTAGAAGTTGGGAGCCCAGCAACGGTCATGCGTTGACCGGGCGTTGTTTTGTTACAGACGGAGTACCCGTGAGGAGGGATGAAGTAACCACGCGTCCCTGAGACGGGAATGCACTAACCGGGTGCCCTGTTGTGTTACAGACGGGAGGACCCCAGTGACGCGGTTGTTATGAAGGAGGAACACCGCGGGAAGATCCTGCACTGTCTGCCAGCCGGCAGTATCGTCGGTCAGTGTAGTTGGCTGTACCACAAACGGGCTGGGGTTGGAGGGAGGGCTAAACAATAATGTAAACATATGACCAATGAGTCAAACAATGGGGACTTCCCGGTCTCTAACCCTCAGTTACCAGTCAGGAGCACGTCTAACCACTCCGTCATAAAACGGATATTTTTCAGATGTCTTGTCGGTTTGTGTGTGCAATTGATTGTGATTAAGTCATCGAATAATAGTTCCTTTTTAGTTCTTTCAAATCACTACACAATCTGTTACCAACTCGGATTGTACCAACCCCCTCAATTTCGTCACTCGCCATGGGTTATGCTTATGTATTTATTTCCTCATATATGATCCTTCTTCCCCTCCATCTCTAACCGCCACCTCTCGCTCCCCAGGCACATCGTCTCTGCGCCGCACCGCTCAGCTGCAGCGGCGCTACCCGCAGCTGCAGTTCCGCTCCGTGCGCGGTAACCTGAACACGCGTCTCAGGAAGCTGGATCAGGGAGGCGGAGAGGCCGACTTTGCCGCCATCGTGCTGGCCGTGGCCGGCGTCACACGCATGGGCTGGGCCGACAGGATCAGCGCGGTGAGTGGTGGCATGGGATGTGGGATGTGGGATGTGGGTGGAGTGTGGATGCTGAGGATATAAGTATCGTCAGGCTTCGGGGTGGGGGGGGGGGGGTGCGGGGGCAAGGGGTTATATATTGTGGGACGAGGCAACGAGTCTCGAATTTGATCTGCTGGGAACAGATTTAGGAAGAAAGTGTGTCCTATAATTGTAATCGATGTTTTTTGCATTCTGGTGTTTGAGTGCTATGATATCATCAGCTATCGGTGTCTTGCCGGGTTATACGCAGTCTGCGTACATCAAATTGTCACCAGCCGTTGCAGTTTAGTACCGCTGTCGTTATCCCTGTTCTCGGTTAGAACTCCCAGCACCGCTCGTCCTCTGACAGCGTGCTATGTCTCTGTCCATCGTCAGATCCTGCCGCCGGAGGACTGTATGCACGCCGTCGGCCAGGGCGCGCTGGCCGTCGAGTGTCGCGCTGACGACATGCCCATACTGCGGCTCGTATCAGCCCTCTCCCACCGGGAGACCAAGCTGGGCTGTGTGGCCGAGCGGGCCTTCCTACGTCAGCTAGAGGGCGGCTGTTCGGTACCGGTGGCGGCGCGCACCCGCCTCCACCGACACGTCCTACATCTGACGGGAGGTGTCTGGAGTTTGGATGGCACTCAGGAGGTGCGCCGCACCCTGGCGGTACCTCTTCCTGGACACGGTGGAGGCGATGGAGACTCTAACGGCGCGGGTGATACAAAGAACGGCGCAGCGGAGAACGGCGCAGAGCCGGCGGCCAAGCGTCGTCGCACGATGAGCGCCGGCGGGGAGCGACACTTTGTCGGCGTCTGGGCGCCTCACGAGGAACACGAGGAGCTGGAGGTGGCCGAGAAACTCGGCATCGATGTGGCGCTGATGCTGATCGGGATGGGAGCGAAGCCGATACTGGACGCGGCCAAGGCGGCCAACACGGCGCCGGCCCCGAACGACCCGCCGCGGCCGGCCAACGCAGAAGGCGCTGGTGCCTGTCCGGTGGCCGCCGGTGGGGCTGCTTCTCTCGCCGCCGCTGCCGTGGGAGCGACAGAATGATGACAGCTTTATCCGACGGTCAGAACCACCGTCATGTCGCTGTTAGTGCCTTCTAAGCTTCAACATGGTGGTAATCGTATATTTTTTCAAATTTGCTGAAAGGACCGGCAGCGCTTGACTTTTGTAGACGCCATATCGTATATTGTTATGCTTTAGACCGTCGGTGTTGGTGATGCAGCAGATCTGCTTTATACGGAATGTTGACGTCACGCTGACGTCATACCTATGGAAATGACGTCATGGAGCGGGTAGAGAGCACGCTCCAAATGGTGAGCGGTACCGGGTGGCGGCAGTGATATTGTCACAACTTCCTTTCTCTCTTCCTCGTCACATGTATTACCCATGACTAAGCACTCATTTTCTATGGTCTCCCGATGGCTGGGGCTGTGAGTTGTCTCAACTTCACTGGTCTTCACTTTGTTTATCGGCTTAGATTCTGTATCTGGTTGCGGTGAGGGATGAACCAAAGGCAATGCAATGTAGTGCTGTCAATGTTAGCGAATCAACAAGCTGGTAGCGCTCGAAACGAGCGCCAAAAGTCGCTGTTTTGTTGGCGTTTTTACCTTTTTTACGAACTTATCCCATCACATGATGTTTAAAAGTGCTGTTGAGATGGTAAATCGTATGCCCTGTTTGATGTTTGTGGCAGCAAAATGTAACTATCAAGAAGCACTGAAGGTGGGACGTTATCAGGGTACAGGGACCCGCAGTTGCTACTGTACACATATATTACCAATTTAGAATTGCGCTATTATTTGCTAAGTGCTGGCCATTGGATAAAGGAAATGTAGCGCAAAGTATGGAGGAATAACACATGTTTGCTCCTAGGACGTTTGTTTTGTATAATTCCTCTTACCGCAACAGATATTCTTCCAAAACTACAATCGTGCTATTTTTCCTCGCCGGTTGCCTCCCCAGAGCCCGTCCTTGGTATCGCCTATAGCTTCCGTTCCCGCTACGTGAATGAAAGTCACGTGACTACTACAGGTTTGCGCTCAGTACTAACACACCTAGCCCGAGGGCCGGTCCGTAGCGGGGAGGGGTAGAACGCCAGAGCTCCAGCGCAGTGGAGGTGGTGGTGGCCCGTATCATAAAGAGGCAACCGTAAGCAGAACTACAATTGCCGCAGTATAAGATTATGATCAAGTTTTCTTTAGATGTATTGATTGACAAGAAAGTGCAATGCTTATCCGATATAATAAAACGGTGTCCAAGGCCTTGGAAGAACTATAAAACATATTCAGCAACGTATAAATTTATGATACAGGCCATGACCTTTCACCTTGCCTCCGGGGAGGACCGCTCAGGAAGCCACATACCGATCGAATCGAGGCCTCGCAGCGCGGCGGCAGAGGAGGTGGATAAACCATCGCCAGATCTTTCGTTTACTTATGTTTCCAGAAGAAGGGGGGGGGGGTGGAGGGTGAGGGCTGTTTTCAACCCACTCACCAATCCTTTCCTTATTAACTTATAGCTTACCGAAAAATGCAACACAATGGTGGCCGTCACGAGATGTAGCGAAGAGTGCCTCAGCCACACCGGCTTTGAGTAAACTTTAAGCATTGGAATTCGGGCCAGTGATCCTGAAGCGATATCTTTTTTTGGTCGCGCATAAGCTGGGATGACGTCGTCCAAGTTAATTGCGAAGAAACGGTTTTAGTTTCAGAACATTTATGAGGCTAGTCGCGCCAAATAGTATACGTTTGTTGCAAAATGTCAAATAGTGATACCACAGAGTTGACGTGCTATCCAGATGATGGAATTTATTTGACACAAGAAGTCAACAAGTGGCATCGTTAGTCATCCTGCATACCTATAAATCGATTCGTCACCTTGGTTCGAGCTCAATAGTTCTTTTCGCGGATGATCGGTTTCGTTTTCTTTCCTTTTGGGGGGGGGGGGCGGGGGCAGTTAATGAGCCAGTAACCACCCTCCCCAGTCCCCTAAACAACAATTGTTGACAAATACTGTGATGGCCTAAAAAAATGCCCTCAATTGTGTCACGTAGGGGAGAATGAGGTAAGTTGAGCCGTTTTTTTTCGTAAGCTACCGGCTAACTTACTGATCATTTTTCTGCGTTTACGGGTTGGACGGACTTTTGGACGGACTTTTGGTCATTTGCGCATGTAATGGTGGCCAGAAATGTTTCATACCGCTTATTTTTGTACTGAAAGGCTGCGTCAAAAATCATCTTGCACGTTGCTCATCTTACCCCATGGGCGGGGTAAGTTGAGACACGTCGTGGGGAAAGTTGAGCATGGATAGAAAAAGCGAACCTCTTCTTTTCCCGGGCGCGGCGAAGAGTGGGCTCTTTTATTTACTCCATGGCATACATACTTATGGCAACGTTTTTTCCTCCATCAAAAAGTAACTGTTTAAAGCCTTCCAATAGCTCGTCAAGTTTTCTATCAAGGCAGAAATCATATTATCCTTCAGATAATCTGCAAATCGCTTACAACTTGTGTAATCAACAAAGAAAAAACAATTTCCTACCATTTTTATTCAGCAGAAACAAGCGCAGCTCAGTTTGGTTTTCGGCAGCGGAGACAACAATGGCTTATCCGGCTCATCTTACCCCAGGTGAAAATGGCTCATCTTACCCCACCCGTGGTCATTTTCGATTAATGGCTGACACCTGCTAAGGAAAATAACCATGCACCGCAGATAACAACCATCTCATTTTAAAGGCAAAACATGTCTTAGTTATTAGGGGTGATACCACATGTTACCGGGGCTGAGCGCGAGAACGTTGCCGTCTCACGTGAAAGACGTGAAAGACGTGAACATCGTAAGCTAACGGCACATGGAAGCTCAAGTCAATTAGCGCCATAGGCCAGCTGAGAAACATGGGTTGGCTAAACTTGCCCCTTGGCTCATCTTACCTCACTCTCCCCTATTTGGGGCTCTCAACTTTGATTTGTTAAAGTTTTTTGTCTGTTCATTATAAAAGCTGTCAAATTTGCCGTATCATTAAACTTTTATTGAGTTTGTATTTCACACTTATCTAAAATGAACAATTTTGTCACTGGCTTCTTTTATGAATGGAATTGGATGGTCGCATGAATGAACGAATGAATAGCTCCATTTGAGCATCAGCTGAAATCAATCCTAAAATTTAATCTACCAGTCTGCAACGAAAAGGTTTAAAAATCAGTGCAAGTTAGGTGCAGTTTCTAATCTATGCCGTTTTTTATTAAGTGTCTCATAGCTCCTTAATCTTGAGCCGCTTCTCTTATGATTCATTTTATGTGGTGCTTACATTGTTCAAGAAGTTATAGTATTTGAGCTCGTTGGTCTTAAAACTGCTATCGAAGTAAATTAAAGTGTTTCGGGCTTCGGCACTTAAAAACCAATCGATATTTAACCCTCACCCACTTAGGCATTTCTTTTCAGCGTCTTACATGTAGCGGAGGGGCGTAGAAACCCTCAGCCATTCGGCCCTTGATAAAAATAGCCAGAGCTTCGCTGAAAAATAAAAAAAGAGCGAGCTGCTCGTGACGAGAGAAATCCGATGATTTGAGGGTCCTGGTCATCGCTGACGAGAGAAAGCCAATTATTTTTATGTCCCGGTCAATGCTGAGATCCTAGGTTACTGGATGCTCCCAACGCATCATTTTTAGAGTTATGACATCGAAATACACACCAAACGATAGAGAATTGATCAAGAATCACGATAGTGAAAGTTTCAAGTCGATACCTCTTACCGTTTTGCCGCAATCGGCGCGGAAATCTGAAAAAGTTAGATTTTTCCGAAAATTTGACCTTTGACCGGTCATAAGTAGGTCAAATGTTGACCTAGGACCAAAAAATATACCACCAATCGCGAGATCTCGTTGAGAGCAATCCGTTGGTTTTTTCCGCTAAGCTCTACGACGCTCCATTTTCAAACGCCAGAGGGGGGTCGCACCACCCCCCCCCCTGCATGGGCGAAGGTGGCAGAACACCGTTTCGTTATGCGCCAGGCGCGGCCATAGCGCGGGACGCGACGCCAGCGCCGCCTATCGGCAACGCCAGAGAACTAAGGTCGGTGAGAGCACGGATTTTGATGGGTGATAGCGCAGTGTGAAAAAATAGGAAAGTTACATGAAAATGTCGCTATACTACGGTATAGTTCACCATCTGAGCGACATATTTATGTATTTTTATCCATGGCGGATAAAAATTGGACCCGGGATCTGGCCATGGAAGAAAAAAAATGTTGGTCAGTGTAAGCACGGATTTTCGTGGAAATGAGCACAGTGTGAGAAAATAGGGAAGTTACATAAAAATGTCGCTATACTACGTTGTAGTTCGCTATCTGAGCAACATATCTATGTATTTGTTATCCATGACGGATAAAAATTGGACCTGGGATCTGGCCATGGAAGAGAAAAATGTTGGTCAGCGTAAGCACGGATTTTCGTGGAAATGAGCACAGTATGAAAAAATAGGGTAGTTACATAAAAATGTCGCTATACTACGCTGTAGATTACCATCTGAGCAACATATTTATGCATTTTTTATCCATAGCGGATAAAAATTGGACCTGGGATCTGGCCATGGAAGAAAAAAATATTGGTCAGTGTATGCACGGATTTTCGTGGAAACTAGCACAGGATGAAAAAATAGGCAGCTTACATAAAAATGTCGCTATACTACGCTGTAGCTCACTAACTGAGCAACACATCTCTGCACTTTTTATCCATAGGAGAGAAAAATTCGACCCGGGATCGGGACATGGAAGAAAAAAATATTTGCACCACCAAATGAAATTAAGATACATCACTCCCGTTATATTTGTATTGAGTCTTTCATGAAACAATTTCGCTATACTACGGCAAACAGCACGACGTCTCGCATATATTGAGACATATTTTGACAATGCAATGTAGGTATAATACAATTTGGAATGTTCATAAACATTTTATCTTCTCCTGCCAAATCCCGGTGCCAATTCTCCCCGAATATTGGTAAAAAATACGTCAGGGTAAACGCATATTACTGAATTTAATTGCATTATATCGCATTTTTCAGTTTATCGTTAAGTCTCCACACAGGGACGTTTTCATCTGAAGTTTGGCCGCCGGAGCCACCGCGAGGCCTAGTTGCACGAGTAGCCGATAGTCGGCGCCACCGTCGCACTCGGCCGCAGCCAGTATACTGCCAAAAATGGAGCTATTATGATATCGCTCGTTGGTAACTAAGTGTGGCGTGCTTCATAAATGATCGCCGCATAGAGAAACAACCGTTTAATGAAGAAAATGACTTATATTTTACTCATAATAACAATCTGAACCCCAATGTCCGCTTCTATATGGAGTTTGGCGCATAACGTACGGGCGAGGGTTAAAGGTAATTTGGTTCAAAGATTTAAAATTCTCAGACAAGATGGACAAATAATAAGGGCTATTTAATTTTCTGGAAAGTTGTAAAATTGATTAACTCCAGGGCACCAAAGAATCGTCGCAATCCTTCGCTTTGCCGCGAGTTATTGGTGAAAAACAGGGGGCGCGGTCTACTTACATCTACTTATATCAATGTGTGCCGTGTGGTGAGGGCTAATATTCATTTTATCTGTGTTGATGAATATGCAACAATTTCTACATGAACTGAGACCAGTCCATAAGAGTATGTTTTTCTCACGGACAATGACAATATTGGAGAAAAATAAGTGTATAGGTTTAACATCGATGAGAAC